TATACCAATGTAAATTCTTTATAATGTTCCATTTTATTTCTGCATGATCTAAAATTATACCTTATTTGTTCCTAAGACTGGTAATTTTTTTTGTCTTTTATCTAACTAGAACTAAATCAATTTGATCTTTTATAAGAATCAACTTTCATTAAATTTAATTTAAAAAATCAACTTTTTTACCTTTGATAATTTCCTCTTTTTAGTCTGTTTTTAATTTAATTGGTTTCTGTTCTTCATTATTTCCTTCCTTCCATGGGTTTAATTTGATGATCTTTGGCTCAGAGTTGTTAAACCCCTACACAGGTCACATGATTGCAGATTCTGTTTATTCTATTATATTCATCTGAAGAGTATTATTTTTTCCTTGTAGGCAGTTAACTTGTTAGACTCAAACTTCAAACTCTCTCCCATACATAACCCAAATAGGCAACAGCTAGAATTGCTGACTTTTTTCAGCTTCTCAACTGTTGTTTTTCAGTGAGAATCTTGAGTCCTTTCGTAACAATGCAGTTTACAGATCAACCAAGGACATGTAGATTTAGGGGATATTCTCTCTCTCTCTCTTTTTTTTTTTTTTTTTTTTTTTAATATGACAGAGTGGATAGTGAGAGAGAGAGACAGAGAGAAAGGTCTTCCTTTTTGCCGTTGGTTCACCCTCCAATGGCCGCCATGGCTGGCATGCTGCAGCCGGTGCACCATGCTGATCCGAAGCCAGGAGCCAGGTGCTTCTCCTGGTCTCCCATGGGGTGCAGGGCCCAAGCACTTGGGCCATCCTCCACTGCCTTCCCGGGCCACCGCAGAGAGCTGGCCTGGAAGAGGGGCAACCGGGAAAGAATCTGGTGCCCTGACCAGGACTAGAACCCGGTGTGCCGGTGCTGCTAGGTGGAGGATTAGCCTATTGAGCCACGGCGCCGGCTATTCTCTTTTTGTTACTTCATGTTTCTCCTCGGATTCCCTCCCCCTAGCTTTTATGACAGACCCACACCCTGACTTTTGATTTTCTCAAGCCACAAAGAATTTGGATTTTTAGTAAAGTCTAGCGATCTTTTCCCACAAGGAAAAAATAAGTACCCTAAGACAAAAAAAAAAAAAAAAAAAAAAAAAAAAGGAAAAAAAAAGCTGTAAATTTAACCCTATGCAATTCACTTCTTTTAAGTGTCAATTTCTTTCCTGTTTCTGCTTTTGATTGCTCTCCTGTGCCTTAAAATAGTTCATAATTTTGTCTGTGGCGGTCCAGGCTGGGAGTGGGGACTGGGGAAGGAGGTTGTTTATGCGATATAAGCTATTCCACTATTACTGGAAGTAGAACCATACAGATTTTTGGTTTCTTTTATACATCTTTTAACTGGTAAGCTCACTATAGATAATTGATAAACTTGTATTTGTTTCTGTTATTTCATTTGTAGCTTTGTCATTTAAAAAATTAGTTTGTAAGTTATATACTTAATTTCTATTATTTTACCATGTTATAGCTATAACTTAATGATTGGCATAGTGTTAAGACATAGCTTGGAATACCTGCATTGTATATCAGAGTGTCTGGTTTCAAGTCGTGGCTCTGCTTCCCATTTCAGTTTCCTGCTAATGTGTACCTTAGGAGACAGTGAGTAGGTCACAGCCACCCCCATGGGAGACCCTGGATAATCCTGTCTTCAGCATGGCCCAGATCTGGTTGTTGTGGCCATTTGGGAAGTGAACCAACAGACAGAAAATCTTTCTCTCTGTTGCTCTGCCTTTCAAATAAGTCAGTTATTTTAATGATACACAAAATACAAAGAAGGTAACCACCTCTCATATTAAAAGTAGATCACCTCCATTGTATTGGTTTGCTAGGGCTGCCATAATAAAGTATTACAAACTTGGTTTGAAACAGCAGAAATTTACTGTCAAACAATTCTGGAGGCTAGATTAATAAGTCAGCAGGGCCGTGCTCCATCTTCTGTCTTCTGGTAATTACTGGCAATCTTAAGGCACTTTTGCTAATGAATACATCACTCCAGCCTCTGCCTCCATCTTCATGTGGCCATCTTCTCCATGCCTTTTTTTCTTATATGGAGAGGCAGACAGAGTCAAACAGAGCTCCTATTTTCTGATTCACTCTCCAAATCCTCATAGTGGCCAGAACTAGACTGGGAACCAGGAACTCAATCTAGGTCTCCCATATGGGTGGCAGGGACCCAATTATTTAAGCCATCACTTGCTACCTCCCAGGGTCTGCATTGGTAAAAAGCTACAATTAGGAACCGGAGCTGGGAATTGAACCCAGGTGCCACGATTTGGGATGTAAGTATCTTAAATACTTGACTAAAGGCCCAGACCTCCTTATGTCTTTCTTTATGTGGTAGTTTTCTTTTCCTACAAGGACACAAGTCATTTTGAATTAAAGCTCACCCTGATGACCTCATCTTAACTTGCAAAGGTCCTAATTTCCAGATTAGACCCCATTTATAGGTACTAAGGTGCCAGGGTTTGAGTGTCCCCTCCAGAACTTAACTGCCATTGTAATGGGATGAAGAGATAGGGTATTAAGAGATGATTAGGGCGTGGGAACTGTTTTCATGAGTGAATTATCCAAGGAGTGTACCATTTTAGGAGTAGATTGTTAAAAAATGGCAACCTCTGTGTTCTCTTCCACCATGGGATGTTGCAGCAAGAACACGCTCTTCCAATGTGGTCCTTTTATTTTCCAGCCTCCAAAACTGTAAGAAATAAATTTCTTCATAAATTACCTAGTTTCAGGTGTTCTGTTACAGCAGCACAAAATGGACTAAGACACAGAGGTTAGGACATACTTTTTTAGGGAACATAATTTCATCCATAGCAACTGGTACTCTAGAAGTATCCCCTTTATGCCTTCTTCCAATTAATTCCCCTGTCCCTCTTTCCAAAGAAAGATTAGTAATCACTGTTGGGAATTGAAGCACAGTAGTTTAGTAGTGCTTGACTTAAACGGTTTCGTGTAGACCATCCCTGTCCAATAGATTTCCTATGACGATGGAAATGTTCAGTTATAGGCACTGTTCAGTATGATTGTCACTTATCACATGTGGCTGTTTAGCACTTGAAATGTAGCTTGAAAAAAATTTTAAATTTCATTTAATTTTAATTAACTTAGGCAGCCACATATCTTCAGTGTCTCATATTACATATATATATATTTAAATATATATGTGTGGGCCATATTCTTTTGTATCTGGTTTCCTTCAGTCAGCATTTTTTTAGATTCATCTGTTTTAGCATGTTACTTTGGTTTCTATATTTCTAGTACTGTACAGTATTCTGTGTATATACCACAATCTACCTATTCTGTCATTTACAGACATTTGACTTGTTTATACTGACTGTTAGAAATAATTCTGCCATGAATATTCTCATGTACGTTGATGCACACATGTCCACATTTCTGGGAGTATATACCTAGGAATGGAATTGCTTTTGTTCAGCCTAAGTAGTAGACCTAGTACCAAACTTTGTCCATAGTGGTTGTGCCAAATTCATGAGTTCCAGTGGTGTGTGTATGAATTCCTATTGATCTACATCCTCACTAATCATTGAAATCATTCAGTCTTTTCACTAATGAGTATGTACTAGGATTTCTCTCTGGGTTTATTTTGCATTTTTCTGGTGAGTAATGTTTATTGGTCATTTAAAATGTTTTGTGAATATGTTTTTTAATATCTTGACAGTTTTCTATTGACTTATCTTTTATTGATTCTTTTTTTGTGCTAAATCTTTCAGATAATTCTAGATACAAGTTCCAGGTATTGCAGATATTTTCTCCCTTTTTATGACTTTTTCGTTTAGTCATTAAATGGTGCTGTCAGTTGATTTAATTCCATTTATTTTAAACACCACTTTTCCCCACCATTTTGCTGTGCTTTGTCATATATCAAGTATCTATGTTTGCATAGGTCTGTTTTTGAGCTATCTATACTCTTCTTTTAGTCTACTTATCTATTCTTGCACTAGTACTACAATCTTAACCTTATAGTAAGTTTCCCTATTTTATATAATTCTTGTCACCTTGTTCTTTGCTGGGTATCTTGGCTTTCCTTTGCATTTTCTCATTCATCTTAGGGCAACTTACTGGTGCTAGGATGTAGCTTTAACTTAATCCACAGTTTATACTGACTTGTGGTGCTTTAAATTGCAAACAACATAATACCAGTGTCCTTCCTAAGAGGAAAATGCAGCTGCATCTTTGAGGGATCACCAATACCTGTAAACCAAGTAGGCTCTGAGACTGGACCACATGGAATGAAATAAATCTGGTATGAGAAGCTAGTGAAAGCCAAGAAATCAACACTTCATTCTACACTCCTGGCTTTTAGCATCATTCCTAGGAAGGAGATGGAGAAGGACTTGTGAACCTAGTAATGCCTTGTTTGCTATATTATTCCTATTTGTTGTATACAGTGAATATTGGGTGTTTGTTAAATGAGTTGCATATGTGTATGTTCATGGATTATGTGATTTGCTTCTCATGTTACATTATGTAGCCATGTTTCACTCTGCCTTAGATGCTAAGAAAGGTTAAAACTTTTTCCAGCTCTACTGAGATACAAATAACCAAAAAAACTAAATTTTTAATAGTTAGTGAATTTTTGTCATTTCATGGTGTTTCCTTAATATTTCTACTTTATCTTAAATTCATTACCTCAAGTCTTTTAGGAAATAAGTGACACAAACTTTTGAAAATGTTGAAACAAGTGATTGTCTGTCAGTAATTTTAAAAAATTGCTGACATTCTGCATCCCTCAATGGATATTTCTTGGATGTTCCTTAACACTTAAGTTCATATGTTTATGAGGCTGAATTTGAGATAATATCTGGATTCTTATATTTCAAAATATTTTATGATGGAGAAACCAAGTTATCCTGTGTTTTTTGTTTTGGCTTTCCTCTCTTTTGAAAGGATGTACAGTTGTTGAAATTTACACAAAGCAAATATTGATTAGTTTTCAGCACTAAATATTAAAATTCTATTTTTTTAAATGCAGATGTGGAATTAGAAGAAGCTATTAGAAGAAGTCTTGAGGAAATGTAATTACAGATATTACCATTCAACATCAAGTGGCCTTGAAGAGACTCAGGATAATGAATTCTTGTTTGTTTTCTAAAGGAGACCAGAAACCCAGTACAAATGTGTTTGAAAACATGTTTTTGCTTTCATATGTTCAAAATCTGATATTTGCTTTGTATTTTTGTGCTATTGTGCAAAAATGTATGTTAGGAAGAGAATACATGTTAGTGAAAATGTAAGTCATGTGTTCTAATATACACATAACAGTTTCCAGGTTAACTTTGTGTTCCTATATTTAGGTTAAAAGAATTTAAGGAAAACAAAACATCGCTTTTAACTATTGCTATGTTTCCCAGATAGCATTGGTTCTTTAATTTTATTTGTACTGTACAGATGACTCTAGTTTATTTTTTTAGGAGTGATAATGAATATAAATAAAGATATCATAGCTCAATTTTTCTGTAAATTCTTCTTATATATAGCATTAATATATAATAACTTTGAGATCTTTATGATTATTAGAAGAGAGTAATGCAACTTGATCATGAAAGAGATTAAAATTTTTGCCAGTAATATTCTTTGTATCATGCAGATGTATATTCTTGGCTTTAATTCAAGCAACATGTTGCTAAAGTAAAACACACCCTAGCTTTTTCAAAATAATTAAAATGAAACCATTTCCAATACTTTTACCTGTTTAGCCTTTTATGTGACTTTTATGAGGTTTCAGAGTGATGCCAAAATATTTGCATAGAATTAAATTTATTTTTAAGAACATTAGTCCTTTTATATATTTGTGTAAATATATTTTTCATAACACCAGAGAGGGTATTCTGTCCAGCATTTCAGATGCTGCATGGAACACCTGTATATTTTATTGGAGTGCCTGGGTTCAAGTTGTGGATCCTTTTCTAATTCCATCTTCCTGCTAATGTGTACCCTGGGAGATAGCAGGTAATGGTTTAAGTACTTGGTTCCCTTCTACCAACATGGGAGTCCCCAGTTGTATTGTGGGCCCCTGGCTTCAGTTTGGCTCAGCCTCTGCCTATGCAATTGGGAACCAGCATATGGAAGATCTCTGTCTATATGTTTGTTTCTCTGGCTTTCAATAAAAAGATAAAATAATGTCAAATTGTCTACTCAGGAATAATCTTCCTTAACTGTAAAATTTTTATTTCATATAAAATATCTTCAATTTTGTTGTTCATTGGAGTGTCAGTTTTCTACCTTTGATAGTACATATATCATTCTTAATTGTTGCAACTCCATTTTGAACAATAAAAAACACTACATAAATGGGAGAACAACAGGACTTATACTGTCTATTAAAGTTAAAAATATCCTTATAAATATAAAGCTTTCCTTGAAGACAAAGATATTGCTAGAATCTCGCTCTTTTTCTCCAGTATTAAATTATTTTAGTGTGAAGGGAATTCCTAGTTTTTTTTTTAAAGATATTTATTTATTTGAAAGGCAGAGTTAGAGAAAGATTTTTTTTATTTGACAGAGTTATAGACAGTGAGAGAGTTTCACTAACACTTTCCACATGGCATTATGTCTTGCCTTACTGAATTTAGACTAGTTTTTCTTTTTTTTTTTTTTTTAATTTTCTTTTTTATTTATTTGACAGGTAGACATTTATTTGACAGAGAGACAGAAAGGTCTTCCTTCCGTTGGTTCACTCCCCAAATGGCCGCCATGGCCAGTGCTGCGCCAATCCAAAGCCAGGAGCCAGGTGCCTTCTCCTGGTCTCCCATGCGGGTGCAGGGGCCCGAGCAGTTGGGCCATCCTCCACTGCCCTCCCGGGCCACAGCAGAGAGCTGGACTGGAAGAGGAGCAACCGGGACTAGAACCGGCACCCATATGGGATGCCAGTGCGTCAGGAGGAGGATTAACCAAGTGAGCCACAGCGCCGGCCCAAGAGAAAGATATTCTATCCGCTGGTTCACTTCCCAAATGGCCACGATGGCTGAAGCTGAGCTGATCTGAAGCCAGAAGCTTCTTCCAGGTATCCCACATGAGTGTAAGGGCCCAAGCACTTGGGCCGTCTTCCACTGTTTTCCCAGGTGCGTTGGCAAGGAGCTGGATGGAAAGTGGAGCAGTTGGGTATCGAATCGGCATTCTTATGCCTTAGCACCTGCCCCAGGTTTTTTTATTTTTTATTTTTTAAATTAGTATCTTTTCAACCATATTAGAAACCAGTTTGGTTTATTTTTCTTTCTCCTAATTTTCATTTCTTGAAGTAGACATTGTAGCTTGAGAATTTACCAGTCATCTTTCCAAAGTGACCACTGTGTGCTTAATTTTTATGTTAAGATGATAGTCAAATCTTATTTTTTTTTTTTTCCATTCAGAGTTACACAGAGAGAGGAAAGGCAGAGAGAAAGAGGTCTTCCATCTGATGGTTCACTCCCCAGTTGGCCGCAACGGCCGAAGCTGCACCGATCCGAATGCAGGAGCCAGGAGCTTCCTCCAGGGCTACCACGCAGGTGCAGGGGCCCAAGGACCTGGGCCATCCTCTACTGCTTTCCCAGGCCATAGCAGAGAGCCGGATCGGAAATGGAGCAGCTGGGTCTCGAATCGGCATCCATATGGGATGCCGGCGCTTCAGGCCAGGGCCTTAACCTGCTGTGCCACAGCGCCGGCCCCTAACCAAAGCTTTCAGGGCACTGTGCTGGGTCTTATACATATCTGCTGTAGTTGCTAAATAATGAGGAATAGAAAGAGCATGCCAGAAAGAATGATTCAGCCAATAAGTAGATGAAACGGCACCTCTGCCAGAGATTACACACACATATTGTATACACAGTCCAAATTAGGAGAATTTTATGGTGGATGTGGTAGAGTAACTTAAGCTTTTTATATGACAGGGGAGGGATATTTCATCATGACTCTTAAGGTAATTGGTTATTTTTACATCTTTTCATGGATAATTATCACTGATTGTATTTCTACTTTTAAAAAATTTAAAAAGTTTAGAACTTTCATAGTTTGAACTTAATGTAGAAATAAGGAGGTACTGGTGTATGACATTAAAGAAAGTTTATGGATTATCACAAGTAAATATTTAACACAAACATGCTTATCTTTTCATTACATCATTCATAAAATATTGAGTACCTGCCACATGTCAGCAAATATACTAAACACTTGAGATACACCAGTGGGCAAAACAAAGCCCTCACAGTGCACAATATGGCAGAGGGGTTTGGACAGTTTGTTAGAATATAAATAAAGTCAATAAAATAGCAAATATGGTGATAAGTGTAATAAAGGAAAATACAGAAGGAATGGAATAGTTCAGAGATGGAGGGGTTAAGGGGACTTGTAATTTTTTTTTTTTTTTAAAGATTTTATTTGAGAGGTAGAGTTATAGACAGAAAGGTCTTCCATGCGCTGGTTCATTCCCCAAATGGTCATATGGCTGGGGCTAGGCTGATCCAAAGCCAGGAGCTTTTTCCGGGGTTTCCTACGTGGGTACAGGGGCCCAACCACTTGGGTCATCTGCTTTCCCAGGGCAAAGCAGAGAGCTGGATTGGAAGAGGAACAGCGTGGTATGAATCGGCCCCTATAAGGATGCTGGTGCCATAGCACTGGCCCTGGGACTTGTTTTTTTTAAAAGGGTGGTCAGAAAACAGCTCAGTTGAACATTGAACATGCACAGTGACCTGAAGAAGGCACGGGGATAAGCTTTGCAAATACATTGGTCCCCAATTTAACAAAAGTTTGACGTGAATTTTTGACTTCACAATAGTGTGAGGAAACAGAAACCATACTTTGAATCCTGAATTTTGATCTTTTTGCTCATTAGTGATGTGGAACTATATTCTCTTGAGATACTGGGGAGTGGCAGAAAGCCTCAGTTCTTGGTAAGCTACCAAGAATAAGCAACTTAAACACTACAGTGTGCTGTTGCTAAGCTATGTTAGATAGATTAAACATATCAAATGTGTTTTTGATGGGGCTGGCGCTTTGGTGCAGCGGGTTAAAGCCCTGGCCTGAAGCACCGGCATCTCATATGGGTGCTGGTTCTAGTCCCAGCTGCTCCTCTTCCAATCCAGCTCTCTGCTGTGGCCTGGGAAAGCAGTAGAAAATGGCCCAAGTCCTTGGGCCCCTGCACCCATGTGGGAGGCCTGGAGGAAGCTCCTGGCTTCTGGCTTCAGACCCGCGCAGCTCCGGCAGTTGCGGCCATCTGGGGAGTGAGCCAGCAGATGGAGGACCTCTCTGTCTCTACCTCTCTCTCTGTGTCTTTCAAATAAAATAAATCTTTAAAAAAAAGTGTCTTTGACTTAGAATATTTTAAAATTATGAATACAATTATGACTAACCCATTATAAGTCAAGAAGTATTGAAGGGGCTGGTGTTGTGGCATAGTGGTTAAAGCCACTGCTTTTGACACCAGCATGCCTTATGGGTGCTGATTTGTGTCCCAGCTGCTCCACTTCTGATTCAGCTCCCTGCTAATGGCCTGCAAAAACAGCAGAAGATGGCCCAAGTGTTTGGGCCCCTGCCACCCACAGCTGACTTGGATGAAACTCCTGGCATCAGCCTGGCCCAGGCCTGGCTGTTAATGACCGTCTGGGAAGTGAACCAGTGGATGGAAGATTCATTCTCTCTCTCTTTCAAAATAAAATCTTAGGGAAAAAAAGAAGTATCTGTGGTTGAGAAAAGTTCCAAGTGAATGAGAAGTTCTCGAAGGGTGCTTGGTATACTCAGGGAAAAGCAAGAAGGCTAGTAGGTCTGAAGCAGCATGGGCTAGGAGAGTAATGATCAACTTTGAGGCTTTTCTAAGGACCTTGGCTTTTATGCTGATCTGAGGATCTACTGAAGGTTTCTGAGAGTAAGTGCTGTCATCCACCTTAATTAGGATTATTGCAGTTGAGAATACACATGAGAAGCAAGAGTGGAAGTATGAACCAAAGAGGGACGCTCAATGATCCAGGTGCAAGTTGACCAGGTTACGTGGACCTAGTGGAAATGGAGCTGAGGGAAGAATCTTGGACATACTGTGAAGGTAGCATTCATGTGATTACTGATGGACTGGATCTAGGACATGAGAGAAAGTCCAAGGTGAATCTAAAGTCTCTTGAGAGACATCAAGCCATTCACAAAATGTGTTGGGATATCGAGTTTAATGTTTGGCAAAAATATGTTTAATGAGATCGGTCAAATAACACCCTATACCAAAAGCTTACTAGTATTTAGAATGAGTACAGATGGAATTGGGATCCAGGCTTAAGAGTTCCCTCTCTGCTAAAGTATTTAAGTGGTGATGGTCACTGATGAAAGGTTGTGATTCAGCTTCAAAGCTGTTATTACCATTTCCATGCCTTCAGTTTTCATACTTGCAATACGAACATTCTTGTAACGTGAGCTATCCTGAGAGCGGAGCAAAGCACAATATTTTAAATACAGCGGCCCTGCTCCATCTTTTACTGATATTTACTGGATTTTTGTTGTTGTCGTTAACAGATTTAATACGTTGGGTGTGAAGTGACCATTACCAACTATTTAAAATACCAGAAAAAATTTTTGTAGGCATAAAAGTGAAATTCCCTTTCTTGGAATGTGTGGGAATTAAATTCACTTTGCTTCGCATCTGGAGCTAGACAGGCAAAGACGGGATAGCTGCTTCATTCTTTCTCAGTAGCGTCAGTGTGGTCCAGGCTGTTATTCTCAGAAAAGTGACTTGGTCAAGTACAGACTGCCGAGGAGGCGGTGTCCTTCTATGTCTTCTGCTTTGCAAAGGGACCTTTTCTCCCTGTCGGCAGAAACCTGAATGTTTTTTCGTTCTTGCTTTGAATTCTGGGTGCTGAAAGGAAGTAAACGAAACCATCGGTGAGCCATGCACCCACAGCCTGCCCACCGTGTGGTATGGTAACTCCGCATAGGGGGAGTTGGCTACTTTTATGCTGCACCAAGAGTCGGGGCTTGGGTGTTCGCTGGGTCTCCGCGCCGATTTCGGGTTGTTCCAGGAGCAGAGAGCAGCCGACTACGTTAGGTGCTCCCCTTTTTGGGTCCTCCCATCCCAGAGTCTCGGAGGCCTTAGCTCCTGAGGCCCACCCTCGAGCTTTTGCGGCCAGCTAGCCCCCTCCAGGCCCCGCCACCCCCAGCCCGCGCGCGCCGCGCCTGCCCTTCTTTGGCCACGCAGCCGCGGCGGAGTCGGCGCGTCCTCGCGAGCCGCCCCCGCGGGCGTCAGAGAGAGGCGGGCGCCCCGCGCGGTGACGGCGACGCCTGCGGCCCGGGAGCGCTCCACTCGCCACCGCGGGAGAGGCCGGTGACCTCTCGGCCGCCCCGCCTCAGAGGCTCAGATGGCTCAGGCGAAGATTAACGCCAAAGCCAACGAGGGGCGCTTCTGCCGCTCCTCCTCCATGGCCGACCGCTCCAGCCGCCTGCTGGAGAGTCTGGACCAGCTCGAGCTCAGGTGAGCGGCCGGCGGGCCGGCGAGGGGCACGCGGCGGGCTCGGGCGTCCTGCTCGCCGCGTGGGCGGCCGGCGGGCGGAGGCCCCGCCTGGGGCAAGCGGCGGCGAGAGAAGTTGCTTGTTGGGGTGGTGTGGATGGAGGCGGTGCGGTTTTGTGTCCTGGCAGGTTTTCCTCTCCTCGCTGAGAGAAAACGCGTTCCGTCCCAGCTAACCTGTGAGCACGTTATTGATGGACACGTGAACACACCTGTGTGTTTTAGCGAATACCCAGAGAAGATAAAAGTTAGGGTGATGGTAATGGAGATTATTTCCAGAACCTTCTCTGGGGTCCCAAAGATCTTTAAGCCCCCCCCCCCCAAGGTTGCGAGTTAAGGGAAAAAGATTAAAGTGTTCTCCCCACCCCACCCCACCCCCCGTGAAGTTTTCTTGTTCCAAAGCACTTCAGAGCAGAAAGGGGGGGGACCCCAGGAATGCATCTAAGAGCAAAAATTGTAGAGCAGTAGGCCAAGGGAGGGGCTGTAGGAGGAACAGTAACTGGGTCCTGTACCTCGTGGATTAAAGACATTATGGCTGCCTTTGCTCTCCTAAGCCCACATACTGTGTTCCAGTATTTATTTTCTTAATATTTATTACCTTACATAAAAGATGCTGCTGAGACCTTAAAAGTGCTAGTCACTGGCCCGAAAGCATGAAAAGATAGTCAACAGTTTTTCCTTTTTCCCTTGATGACAGTTTTAAGTAAGTAAGATAGTGATAGGCTTGTATAGAATGTCTAAGTAGTAATAAGTTTTGGAAATGGCTTTTTCCTTTAACAGTGTATAAAAACGTATATGTACTATCTATGAACATTTGTGTCTGAAGTTAGTGTCTGCGTTGTGGTTGTGTGCAGGTATAGTTAGGTGAAAATCTTGAGACACGCATAGCCCCCTGACACTGTACATAGGATTTGGTTCAGTAGTTTCTGCCAAGCTCTGAAGGCGCAAAGGAGTGTGGAAGCCCCAAAGTGTAAACAGTGCTGTATTGTGTGTCCTTCTCTCCCTCCATTAATATAGCAAAACATGAAGAAGTGTCTGTTTGCCCAGAAAAGATACCAGTAACCACAGTGTCTGCTAGTAAAAAAAGATTCGCTATTACTACTGGGAGGAAATCGCCAGAAAGTGTGAAATTCTCCACTCACAATTCCAGGGATGGCAACAGAGCCACCTGGGCCCTAAGCCAGGTACTGGGGTTCACTTAGGGTGCGACAAGTTGAAGAGAGAAGCAATGCTTCCTTATGGATTGCCACAGAATCAGCAAACCTGGGTTCAACACCCAGAGAAAGTGGAGTGAAACTACAGTGGCCTCAGCTACTCCAAGCCCCTCTAAGGAATGGGATTTCTTTTGTGTAGCAGCTTAGTAAGTACCTTAGACTTCTCTCCAGGCGTTCTCTACTAGCCTCTCTCCCCCAGTCAGAGAGAACAGGTTTTCTCTTATAGGAATGAGGAGCATGTTCCCCCTCCTTCCTTCCTTCCTTCCTTCCAATGACAAGCTGAGTCATTGTCCTCACATGTGGTAGGCACAAAAGCAGTCAAGTGCTCCTCTTCTAAAACAAGGCCTCTGATTTGGGGTATTACTGTATTTCTGATATTTGGTGAATGTCAAATGAATTCTGATTACTGCACATAAGTGATTAAATTACAAGTTGCTTAATTACCACTTGGGCTGAAGGAGGAAAGTCTGATTAATATGTGTGTTAATTGTTCATTTCAAGGGCTTCTCGAATAATTCTAGAGTTTTGTTTCTTCCTTTTAAAAAGAGTAATACTGAAAACTAAACAAGTGTTTCAGAAGGTTCGCAAAAATAGAGAAAAATGCTACTGCTGATCCTAACTGAAGTTTGGATGATACCATGCAGGCAATGTGCAGAGCATTGTACCAGTGAAAACTAGAATCGTGCCTAGAGGGAGGTCGAGTTTTCAAACATGAAATTCATATATAATTTATTCTCATCGTTTGAGGTCATATTAAGTAACACTAATAAAGTAGTTATGTTAGTAGAGTGAGGCATTTTAGCTTGTACTTAGAAGTATGCATGTACTGTTCTCTAATGCTAGTTTGATGTTTGGGAAGGAAACTTCTTCCCTCTGAAACCAAAAACAGGATTATACCCAGTGCTTGATGACCTGGAATATTTGGCCTTCCTGATGCTTAAAATGCTGTAAAATGTTTGGCAGTCTTCTTCAGTTTGTTTCTGATACTTGATTGTTACACAAGCCTTGCTTTTTTGACTGCATTTTGTCTCCAGATTGCGTCCCCAAAGAGGCAGTTCCTTTCTCTCCTGGTTTTCATGATTTCTGAATGGAATATAATTTTACATTTGTCAATAGCTCAAGCTACTCTGCTAATTATCTTTTTAGACATTTATCATTTATAAATAATACAGCTTACATGTCAGGCTCCATATCTGTGTGGAAATTACTGTAATCTGCACTCTACAGATGAGAAACTGAGGCTTAGAAACTAAAGACTCATCCAAGGTCATACCACCAGAGAGTAGTGTGCTTTAAATCTGAACACAGGAAGTCTGGCTCGCAAGGCTCTAAGACTTCATGCCTTAATTCTCTTAAATACATCATAATTTTAAATGTAGAAATGATATGATTTTACTGACAGGAAAATGCATTTTCAAGTAGCCTTTAGTTCAGTAAATATTAAACACCCGGGATCTGCCAGATACCGGGTAGACCCCAGAAGGCTCAGAATGGTAAGGAAAATATTTGAGGAATGGGTTTTGGAGACTGTCAGAGAGCAAAATGATAGGACTGGGAGATGGGCTGCTCACATATTTCCCAAAACTGATCATGTAATGGCTGCCTCCCTCCTCCTGTCTGCCATTTTCTGTGCTTATCGTGCCACAGGAAATGAAGTCCCGGGTCGGGGGTTATATGGATAATTCATCTGCTTCAGTTTCCTTGTGAGGTGGTACTAGCATTCCAGGGCAGATGGCTTCATAGTTATTATGGTAAAAACAGCCTGTAATTTCAAAGAACACTTTGCCTCCAAGCTGTCATTTGAAACTCACAAAAACCCTTTGAGGTAGAAAGAGGGCCCATGTTATCGGTTTTAGAAATGTAAGAACACAGAGGTCCAGGGGAATTAAGTGGCTTGCGCAAGGCTGTTGTCATTCCTGACTTAGTGCCTTAACACTAAAAACACCCGTCCCTTTTTTACAGGAGAGTATTTTGATAGTGAATGTAATTTATCGTTTTGGTAATCATTAGGAAAATCCTTCCAAGTTTTGCATTGCTTAAAATATTAAGTGATTGTTGTAGCATTCTTCTGATAATGTGAAGAGTCAAATGGTTTAATAGGCAGTCTGGAAACTGAGGGTGGAAAATGTTCCCCCCAGAAAGTTATCCTTAGCAAGGTCAGAAGTGTCTGCCTGCCCACTCCTTGGGAGCTTCCAATCTTATCACGAAAATAGCAAGGGAGTGGTGACTCTACCCTTCAGAGCTCCAGTTTATTGTGAAAACAAATTAGATATCGCACCCTTGTGATGGTTGTTTTATTGTGAACAAGCCAGGCAGGATGAAGAATTGTAAATAAGGTCCTGTGTTGGGGTTGTCCCCCACCTTATTGATTGACAGTTTCATCCCAAAATTATACTTAAAAACCCCAGTGCCACAGGGTGCTTTGGGGGTTTTTCCTTTCTTGGGAGCCCCCCTCCATGCTGCTCTGGATGGTGGTCTTTGACTCTAATAAATCTTTAAATCTCTCTGCTTACCCACTTAGAAAATATTCTTCCATGTGAGACAAAGAACCCAGGTATGTTCTCCACCACCGTTTTCCCATAACAGTAACAGGAATATTGAAGCAGAACAGGACTGTGCTGTGACTTGAAGAACTTGTTTCAGAAGTCATTTCTCTCATATGGGCATTTGCCATTTTCCTTCCTTTTGTGAAAACACAAGTTCTTGTTACTAACAGATAGAAGTTTATGTTGATAATGGTAAGTATAGAATACCTTCTGGGCACATTACACATAGTCGCTCACACGAACAATACTGCTGCAGCTCTGTCGGGCACTGTGTTAACCTGCTTCACCTCAGTCATGACCGTCAGCTCCTTCTTAGCCTTATTTCATAGGTGAGGAATTGAGGAAGAGAGGAAGTGTTCAAGGTCACACGGCTAGCAAGTGGCAGTGCCCATGCAGTTGGCACTGCCTACTCTATTAGCAGACATATCAATAGTAGCCAGTCTAGATGAAATTGTCGTTGTATCTCTTCTAAGTCTCCCAACAGGGTGTTTTTTTGCTTCTTTATTCTGGGGCAGCTGGACCAGCTGAGGATGCCTGTGCTGTCCTTTTGTCCTCAGCTTGTGTTGTCAAAGCCTGCTTAGTGTGATTTCCTGGAGACGGTTTTCCAGGAGCACCAGGCAGGCCAGCCTTGATGTGAGGGAAAGTTCTTTCCCAATTTGGACATGTAGCTGCTTCTAGGATCTATTAGCAAATACAGAACTGCCCTTTCTCTGCCAGGAGCAGTGTTGTCAGAGAGCTATTCAGAAACGTGAAACATAAAGTGAGACGGCCCCTCACTGGCCTAACCAGAGTTCTAAAGATGAATAATAGAGAGACAGGCAATATTAAAAAATACAGTGGTTAACAGTTTTTGATGGGAAAGTTTTTTATGAGAAAGTTACAGACAAAATTTATGTGAGTTAATTTTAAGAATAGCAATAGCTGATAAAAAATACAAATAGTATTTGAATAAAGATCCAGGTTCAGTTTGGTAAAAGAAAAAAATTTAAAATTATGATGCAGTCCCTGCATTAAATGAATGAACAGTGCCATGGGAAGCAGTCATGACCTCAAGGAAGAGGAGGGGACGCTGGTAAGGAAACAGTAGTTCCTGCCTGAAGGATTGGGTTTTGGAGAACATCACGCAGTAGACGGTCCGGGAGGAAGAAGGTTGCAGGAAGAGAGGATAGCATGTGAAAGGCCCACGGTGCCAAAAAAGCCCTTAGGATCTTCACATTCTGAAGAATGATGTTTTACCTTTGCTATGAAGAGGGAGATCTGTGCATTAAAAATGCAGAAAAGATCAGTTCTTTCACAAGGACAACGCCTGGCAACCCTGGAAAATCCCACAGAACTTTTTTAAAAGTTCTGATTTCAGTTGGTCTCAATTAATGACAAACTGTCTTCCTTATATGATAGGTTATATGCTTTTCTCAATGTCTCTTTTTAACCAATTTTGTTGATAACTCCATGAATTTATGATTGTAATGTACTGAAATTGAAGCCTTTTAGAACAGAATTCAGTTCTCTTTATCATCTTACATTTATTTGAATGCATGCTCAAGAGTGTTAAAAATTAATCTTTTCTTTCAGCATCTTCTCATTTACCAGTCACATGTTTCTTCTGTATTTAACATTGGAGTCATGTTTTACATTTTTAGCCTAAATATTTCATATTAGTGCCAACTCAAGTCTCTTTCCTGTACTGGGCCCTAGATTACCTATGAGGGTTTGCTAATGTAAAATGTTTAAGTAAATAGTGAATGGTGCTGGAAGAGGATCAGATTTGTAGAATATTGTACTCATATTTTATTGTGTTTTCCAGCCAAATTTATAACATAAGACCCTTACCAACTCTTTGCTTTTCCTGGCTTTTATAAACACAAAGTTTGACATATATTTAGTATCTTGAAGAATAAAGTTACTCTGTGATTTCATACTCTATCAGTGCTATTTTGGGGTATAACAGGTGGGTGACGAATGGGGAAAAGGCCTATGTGTGATTGGGGTGAGAAGGGGAGATCCTTTTCTGGAACTGACATGAGGTTGTTCCTGTTGTGCCCACTTAAGGCAGTATTCTGCATTAGACCTTCCATGATCTAGTATTTCTTTTTTAAGTATATGAAGGAAGGAAAATTTATTAGGGGTTTGGCTCAAACAGTTGTGGCAGCTGAGAAGTCCCGTGACAGGACATCTTCAAGGAGAACCTAGGATGTTGATATCAAGTCCAAGGGCCTGAGTACAAGAGAAGCTAAGGATATGAGTCTCAGTGACCAAAAAGCCTGAGTGCAAGCAAAAGGGGCTTGGGTGTTGTCCTGGAGTCCAGAAGCCAGCAGTTGATATCACAGACAGGTGTTGGGCATGTCCTGGCTCTTTCAGAAAGTTACCAAATTGCCTTCCCATTTTTCTTTAAAGATTCATTTATTTATTTAAAAGACAGAGAGACTGAGACAGAGAGCACCGGTTCACTATCCAGATGGCTGCAATGGCCAGAACTGGGCGAGTCTGAAGCCAGGAGCCAGGCACTCCATGCTGTTCTCCCTTGTTGGTGGCAGGGGCCCAATAATTGGGCCATGTTCTGCTGTTTTCTCAGGCGAGTTAGCTGGGAGCTCCCTCTGCAGCAGAGCTCTCGAGACTAGAACAGTGCTCTGATACAGGGTGCCGGTTCATAAGCAATGGCTTGACCCAGTACTCCACAGCGTCAGCCCCTCATCTTCCCGTTAGGTCTCTCCAGGTCACCCAGTCCACTGATGATGCTCCCATGATCTTGTGTTTCTGTGACCATTTAAATACTGGGGATAAGTCTGTTTCATTTTGTGAAAGTTGGTGACATAGTTACTGTAATCTGTAAGAAGACAGTGATCTCGCAATATAACACTTTGAGATGTGCAAGAATTTTTTTAAATTCTTTTGCCCTCCTGATTCTACAACCTAGTTCTGCAGTGACTAGATGTGTTCTTGTATATGTGTGGTGGGTGCATGTGTGTGCAGTGGGAGTGGTAGGGAAGGTGACGCTCCTATAGTTTGATCAGAACTTTCTACCAAAAATCTACAGGGGCTTTCTCATTAAAGTTGGGAAAAACAAAGATGACCCCATCGCTGTCACTTTTAAATACAGTTCTAGAGAGGACCTTAGTCAAGACTAAAGAAGAAAATAAGAATATGATTATAAAGGAGGACATAAAAATTATTTTTGGCGGATAATGTGATCATCAACTTAGAAGAACCATTAAAAACAAGAGACTGGCCATTAAAATTAATGTGTAAATTGAGGTTGCCAGTTTTAAAAGGAACTTAGAAATACAGCATTTATTAAATCAGCAATAATTGAGTAGAAAATGCAATTATTTATAATAGTAATAATATTCAAAAAGTACCTAAGAATCTAGAACACTTTAGAGCCCACAAGACAGGGCCAGTGCTGTGGCGTAGCGGGCAAAGCTGCTGTCTGTAGTGCTGGCATCCCACATGGGCGCCAGTTTGAGTCCTGGCTGTTCCACTTCTGATCCAGCTTGCTGCTAATGCACCTGGGAAAGCAGTGGGAGATGGCCCAAGTACTGCCTAGGCCCCTGTACCCACATGGGAGACCCGGAGGAAGCTTCTGGCTCTGGCTTCAGCCTGGCCCAGCCCCATCCATTGTAGCCATTTGGGGAGTGAACCAGCAGACGGAAGATATCTCTCTCTCCCCTTCTTTCTCTATCTCTGCCTAAAAAAAAGAAAAAAAGCAAAAAGGAGTACGCAAGGCTAGAATGAAAAATACTTCAAAACTCTAATAAAGAATATAGAAGATCTGAGTAAGTGATGAGATGCGTCATGTCCCTGAATGTAGTGAAAATACTATAAAGAGGTCTGATTTCCCTCAACTCTTTGAGAAACCCAAAAACTTATGCTAGAGTTTATATGGAGGAATAATGGGCCATAAATCACTTCTTCTAAAGAAGATTGGGGCTTGGGGAACTGCTCTGCCAAATATTAAAGTGTATGTGGGTTAAGAACAGTCAAATATGCTAATGTATGCAGTAAAGATTATACAGATCAGCAGGGAAAAGAAAAATAAAAAAAAAACCTTAGCTAATCACATAAGGATGGATTCCAAATGAATTGAAGATACAAATACAAGAAAGGTTAAAACTGTATAGTTAGTACAGGAAAATATCACATGGTCAGAGGTGAAGAAGGCCTTTAAACAAAACTTCAGAACCATTAACCAAAAGGCTAAACAAATGATGAATTTGATTTCATCAAGATAAGGATTTCTGCTTAGTGAAGGAGATCCTGACAAAGTTCATCTATGACAGCAGTGTCTGTAATCAATAAGAAATTAATATCTCCAGTATGGAAATCAACAAAAAGACAGGAACTCCTGTTTAAAAAAGAAAAAAACACAAAGGAGCCGGATTTATGGTGCAGCAGGTTAAGCTGCTGCCTGGGAGGCTGGCATCTCATGTCAGCACTGGGTCAGGTCCTAGCTGCTCCACTTTCAGTGCAGCTCCCTGCTGATGCATCTGGGAAAGCAGTGGATGATCGCTGACAACCTGGGCCCCTGTGAGCCGTGTGGGAAACCCAGATGGAGTTCCAGGCTCCAGATTTTGACCTGGCTCAGCCCTGGCTATCGCAGCCATTTTGGGAGTGAACCAACAGATGAAAGATCTCTTTCTCCCTTTGTCTCTCCCTTTCTCTCTGTCCTTCTGCCTTTCAAATAAATTAAAAATGAACCTTAAAAAAAGGGCAAAGTATGTCAGCAGGTTGTTGTGGATATCGAAGAGCTATCAAACATTATTAATAAGGAAAGAAATGCACTTACATACTGAGATATCACTGCGCCCTCATTAGACTGGCAACACATAGAAGCTTGGAATGCTCCGTGCCCACGGAGGTGGGGACAAGGGACTCCATGCTTCACCGTTGGGAGGGATGGTACAGCTACTCTGGAGAAGAGTTGTAGCTCCCTGCCACATTTAGAGTACACATACACTGCAGCTGTGGCCTGGACGTAGCCTAAGGAAATTCTCACTTGGGGGTGGTAGGGGGGTGGCATGCATTCATTGAAGCACTATATGCAGTAATCAGCAGTTGGTGGACACCCTAGGCATCCATTCTGGGAGAGTGGGGAGGTAAAATCAGGTGTGTATACACATGGAATATTGTATCATTAGAAGCTGCTGATTTTTTAAAAATTGTGTTTAAAAATTTTTCAACTTATTTATATGAAAGTCAGAGAGAGCGAGCGAGCTCCTGTCTATTCATTCAGTCCCCAAATGCCTTCAACTACCCATGCTGGGCCAGGCCAGCTGGGAACCAGGAACTCAATAGAGTGGAGGGCAGGGACCCAACTACTAGAGTCATCCCCTGCTGACTCCCAGCTGCCAGCTACAACTGGGAACAGTCAGGACTTGAACCCAAGTATTCCAGTATGGCATGTGGGCATCTCAAGCAGTCTGAATTACTATACCAAGTGCTTTCCCCTAGAAGCTATCAATTAGATGCACTGTACACACAGAAACCTCGTTGGTTCATAGTAATATAGTGCTGAATGAAAAAAAAAACCAGAATGAGATATAAATTAAAAGTACACAGTAGGGGCTGACATTGCAGTGTGGTGATAAGGCCATGGCCTGCAACGCCAGCACCCCATGTCAGCACCTGTTTGTGTCCCAGTTGCTGGGTGTCCTATCCAGCTCTCTGCTGCTGGCTGGGAAGAGCAGAAGATGGCCTAAGTGTTTGGGCCTGGCCCAGCCCTGGTCATTGCAGCCATCTGCAGAGTAAACCAGCAGATGGATGACCTCTCTCTCACTATCTCTCTTTTTCTCTAATACTGACTTTCAAATAAATCTTTTTTTTAAAAGTACACAATTTAACAAACAATAGAGTTTGTGGGAACAAATAAAATGGAACAGTTGCCCTGTAAGCAAGGAGGAAAATGGAAGGGAGGCAAGTGGATAAAAACAAAATAGAAAATGGAAGAATTAGAAGCGGAACAAGGAACTTTTGAAGTGTTCCTAATGGTCTGTAAACCTGAGTTGGATTGAATGAGAGATGAAGATCAATACGAAGAACATCCTCCGTAATAACTGCTTTGTTTTCCAATTTACATAGGGTTGAAGCTTTGAGAGAAGCTGCCAGTGCTGTTGAGCAAGAGAAAGAAATCCTTCTGGAAATGATCCACAGTATCCAAAATAGCCAGGACATGAGGCAGATCAGTGACGGTGAGCGCCATTTCCACTGAAGGGGGCTTGTCTTCAAGGGGTGTGTGTGAAGTGTGGGCAGCTTGTACTTGACTTCTGGCGTGTGTACTCTAGGCTTCAGCATTTATTGCATGCTGCAGAGAGCAGCTGTAGCTGTCAGTTTGTAGAAATGCCACTTCCCCAGAGATCACTCCCAGCATGCTCGCTGTGCCGCAGCATGGAGCGAACGGCAAAGCCCTACCAGCTGCAGGACTGGCCCCAAGCTTGAAGCCACCTGTTCACCACAGTTCCACATTCTAACTTTGGTGCTTGTAAGTTACTGGACCGCAGGAAAGGTGAGAGCAGAAGCAAAAGGTGAGGAGTGGAAGCAGGGAAGTAAAGAAGCAGAGATGAACTGAGGTGTGACTTAAAGAGAGGAAATGCAAACAAAATGCAGAGAAAAGGTTACATTATGGGGCTGAAAAAGCCCACTTATGTCTCAGAATGTGCGATCATTTTCGTATGAAGAGCATGAGTATGGAGGAATGGGTCACTTGGGATTTTTTTCATTGGCACTGGACTCCCTACTTGGCGCTCCACAGGATAAATTGTGGGCCAGGTAGCTGGTGAGAATGTGAACAGTCTAAGTCCAGCCACAGCTGTTCCACAGCTACTGGGGCTCACGGTCTGGTCTGCCCTTCAGCTTCCTGAGCAAAGTCAATGAAGGACAACCAGGTGGCTTTTACCCAAGATTAACAACAGAGCTCTTTTGACCATCATTGATTGCCTCCTTGTGCTAGCCAAGACTGAGATCAAGGGCCTGCTTATCTCTGCCTGCAGGGGATGGAGCCACGGCCCCAGCCATGGCCCACTTCTGAGGCCAGCTTATCCTCCACTCCCATTATTACTTTTTTTCAGGCAAAATTTGGGGCAAAATATTCTGATTAGCATGCACATTTATTCTAGAATCTCAGACAATTCATCAGTCTTATATGTGTTATAGTTTCAGCTTTTAACTCTAAAACATTTCATAGCAGAAGTGCTTATAGAAAATAAATTTAGCCACACGTGCCTCAGTGTTCTTCACGGTTAAGTCTGTCTCTCATATTGATGACATTTCAAAACTGTTTCTGTCTAGGAGAAAGAGAAGAATTAAATCTGACTGCAAACCGCTTGATGGGACGAACCCTCACTGTTGAAGTTTCAGTAGAAACAATTCGAAACCCACAGCAGCAAGAATCCCTAAAACATGCCACAAGGATTATTGATGATGTGGTCAATAAGTTTCTGGATGATTTGGGAAATGCTAAGAATCATTTAATGTCACTCTACAGTGCCTGCTCGTCTGAGGTGCCACCAGGGCCAGTTGATCAGAAATTTCAGTCCATAGTAATCGGCTGTGCTCTTGAAGATCAGAAGAAAATTAAGAGAAGATTAGAGACTCTGCTTAGAAACATTGAAAACTCTGACAAGGCCATCAAGCTGTTAGAGCATTCTAAAGGAGCTGGTTCCAAAACTCTGCAACAAAATGCCGAAAGCAGATTTAATTAGTCCTTAAACCTAAGAGCATTTACAAATAACGATGTAGGAATGGTAAAGTACTATTTTAAGTGAAAACTAGTTCTTTATGTTAGACATAACCACTTATTTGATACGGATAGTTGTTTCGGATGAGGAAAGTATTTCCAGTGCCATCAGTTTTGTGAATACCAATTAAAACTAGAACTATTTTAATTATCTAGAAGTTTTTATATAGAATTCTTGTACTAGGATCTAGCACATTACTTCTGTGTTTTTCCTGTTCTGTGTATGAATACAAAGTATGGCGTGGGGGACAGTAAGTACTGAGCTGGGGGCAAAGCCACCGCTGCTCTTTCCCAGGCTTTCCCTGTCAAGGAACTACTTTCCCTGTCAAGGACCTGGGGCATCTGCCTCGGCGTGCTTTCCCTTGGGCAGCACACAGCGTACTGCTTCCCTAGTGTTAGCTCAGCCCTGCTTAGCGGGACGAAAGGAATCACACAACAAGAGGCTTTCCCTACATTTTCCCATTCAGTTGTTTTTTAAGGCATCTGTAACCAAATTATTCTGAACTTTTGTGCACCTCATAATATGTGGATAATATGTGGTTTGTGAACATGACAAAGTATGAGAGCGTCACCTGTAATTTTACCACTGTGATCAATACTATATCCATTCATCTTCTCTCAGATGCATAACTTCTCTAAAATTACAGTGTTGTAACTTGGTTGTCCTTAAGTTAAATGCTGCTAGTAGGTCTGCCTACTTGTCACTTGAAAAGCTCTGTTTTGTGCAGTTGTACAACAGTTCACTTACCTGCTTCCCTCTTATTGAACATTTAGGTTGTTTCCGCTTTGTTGCCATTACTGCAGCAGATTATGTACATAAAGCTTTATCATTCTTTCTTTTTTTTACTTTCTTGGTATAAATCCCAGCAGTGGATTTATTGGGTCAAAGGGTATACACATTTTCATGGCCTGACACACATTTCCAAATGTTTTGTATCAGTTCTATCAATTTATACTATCTTTAGTAATTAAAATGTAGCCATTTCACCGAAATTGGTCCAACATTGAGCATTAAACTTTTTCTAACGTTAGATATAAAACACCTTGATGTAGTTTGCTTTTTATTTACTAACAAGGTCAACCATTGTACTGATTATCTGTGGAATGAATCGAAACTATAGAACACATGTGTTCAAAGTAGTTAATGCTATCGATATACAAAAACCTCAACAACTACCCTCAAAACAACTTTGAAATGAATACACTGAACGGCTTTCATTAGGATGTAGGTATTCCTCACACTAAAAAACACAACTCACAATACACTTGATTAGATGCAAGCAGTGCTGGGCTTCTCTGCACAGAGATGCCAAGTTAGTCCCTCTTTATATAAAGCAATTACAATCTGAGAGTATTCATGGTTGCTTTCTGTGCTGTCCCTAACTATGCCTCATTTAAATCTTTTCATTCCATGGAAACACTGGTTCTATCTACGGCTTGCCAGCAGGCTATTTGCTATCATTAGGCTCACTGTCAGATGAAGATTTTGTGTGCCATCTTTTTCTTTCCCAGCTTTTTGAGATTTAAGAAATGGACAGCTAAGTTTTTCTCTGGGTTCTCAAGTGTCGCAGCATCTGTATTAGCCTCGGTTCTGGGAAGTACATCCCTCCCCATCGCCCACTCACCAGGCCTGGACTTTTCCTGCCACAAAATAGTCTCTGGCTCGTGATCCCTGTATCCTGTGCATGGTTCCTTTCTCATTTTCTCTGCTGTGGCATTTTATGGGAAGCTATTCTTTTCTTACCATAGAAGAGAGCTGCATTCCACCATTCCCAAGCTGCCTGGGGTTCACGCCCTGTCTCCAGCCTCCAGAGTGAGCACAGCTAGGAGTCAAGGACCTTTATGTGTTTTAATTATCTTTTTTTAAAAATGTATTTTATTTAAAAGGCAGGGCTACAGAGAGGGAAAGACAGAAATCAACCTTCCATCCACTGGTTCACTCTCCAGATAGCAGCAACTGCCAGGGCTGGGCCAGGCTAAAGCCATGAGTTTTTTCCAGGTCTCCTGTGTGGGTGGCAGGTGCCCAAGCACTTGGGCCACCCTCTGCTGCTTTTCCCAGGCAGTTAGCAAGAAGCTGGATTGGAAGTGGAGCAGCCGGGACTCAAACTGGTGCCCATATTAGATGCCAGCATCACAGGCAGTGGCTTTACTTGCTACGCCACAATGCCAGCCCCACAGGCAGTAGCTTAATCCACTTCACTGCAGTGCTGATCCCCATTTTCTTTTAATTAAAAAATTATTTTATTCTTCAGAGAGACCTCCAGTCTGCTGGTTCACTCCACAAATGCCTGGGAGTGAGGAAGTCAAACCAGGTTTCCTGCGTGGGTGACAGAGAGCCAGTTCCTTGATGTGCATCAGCAGGGATCTGGAATCGGCAGAGCTGAGGTTTAAATCCAGGCACTCTAGAGACATGCAGCCTTCCCCAGCAGCATCTTAACTGCTGTGCCAGACGTCCTGTCTGGATTCTTAACAGATTTTTCTTTATAAAATTAGAAATACAATTTATTTTTAAATAATGAAACTCCCCAAGAATGACAGTTTGGCCCTCATTTAAACGATCATATTTTCTATAGATTATAGTTAGGTCATAAGGGCATTTAGAGTATGTGTCTTCCCTACTCAAACTCTACTGTTCCTAGCATGTAATGTACAGTTTGCGGCTAGCCTGCTTCCCGGCACTGTTCCCATCCCTTCGCTGCCTCTTCTGAGGCCTGGTCTGCCTTCACGCTGAAGGACAGGCTCCCTGACGTGTGAAGGCCCGCAGGACGTGCAGAGGAACTGACAGCACTGAGTTCACCAGTGGAGAACAGAGTGAAAATCCAGCCCAGTGAAAAGTACAGAATTGACCTTCATGATTTTTTTTTTTTTTTTTTGACAGGCAGAATTAGACAGTGAGAGAGACAGAAACAGAAAGGTCTTCCTTTTTCCATTGGTTCACCCCCAAAGTGGCCGCTACGGCTGGCGCTTTGTGGCCAGTGCGCTGCGCTGATCCGATGGCAGGAGCCAGGAGCCAGGTGCTTCTCCTGGTCTCCCATGGGGTGCAGGGCCCAAGCACCTGGGCCATCCTCCACTGCACTCCCGGGCCACAGCAGAGAGCTGGCCTGGAAGAGGGGCAACCGGGACAGAATCCCACACCCCGACTGGGACTAGAACCCGGTTGTGCCAGTGCTGCAGGTGGAGGATTAGCCTAGTGAGCCGTGGCGCTGGCCTGTGATGTTTTAACTTAGGGTCCCTGACATTAAAAAAAAATAATAATAAAGCTTACAGGAGTGGGCAGGACCCACAGTAGTGAATGAACTACTGACTTCCAGTGTTGTAAACTCCACAGTGGACACCATCCTCAGTGTATCCTATGTGAGCAGCCTAAGACATTAGCCAAGTGAGATGCTTTTGTTTTTAAGAATTTATTCAAAAGGCAGAGTTAGACGGAGAGGCAGAGAGAGATCTTTCATTGGCTGGT